AAGCAAAGTATAAATTTCCTGGTGTGAGAAAATCTCTACATTTTATTTACTATGATCAATATTCACAGTATGTAATTAAGGCTAGGCAATTGATCTCGGCTTTATTTAACAAATATATAGAATATCATGCATGAGGACCTCTTAAGCATATTCTTTCAGACATGGCTATTTGTTAAAAAAAATGAGACTAAATGATTGCAATATAAAAGCTAAACTAGCGAATTTTGCCTTCCAACGATTGCATCATTCGAACAGCTGAGCCCTTTCCTATCGCCCATTTCATAGCGCTATGTTATTTATCGTTCTTTTATCACAGAGACCGTCGACCCCTCTCCTCCTGAATGGATCGCTTGTCTGGCTGCCTGCGCCTGTTCCTCAACAAAGATGGCCCTTAGCCCTCCTTCATCCTCAGCTACTTCTCATTTCGATCTACAGGCTCTTGCGTTGCACTGTCTACTCGATTTGGCCCAAGCATCTGTGCTCCAGTGGCAGCGTCTCTCAGTTCCTGCCTATCTCTTCCATCATTATAATCGCCAGTTCCCATTAGGTTCACAGAAGTCGCAGGGGCCACCAACTTCTGGTGTTACCTTGCCCAGTCACCTCTGTGCGCCTCTACTCACACCGCGTCTCCTCATCAGCCTGTTTGTCCACTCTCGATTGATGGCGGTGAGCTGTTTTTATTTTTTAGGCAGGCTGTTTTAACTCTGTGCTAATACTGGCGCCTCTCACTGACGATGTTGGCGAAACGTTTGCGAATGTATCAAGTCACTGGTCAGATGCTGGAAATCATCAATACTATGATAGAGAATGCATGACTAGGTATGCTCCACAAGGTCTCCATTTTACCCTGATCAAGTTGCTAAAACCAGGTCGAAGCAACACTATGCAGCCTTATTCTATGTTAAATGCGTTCTGTCTAAGATGAGATAATTCTTACTACTTTGCCTATTCAGTAAATCTTATACTATGGATCAGCTCCAAGGCCGTTAAGGAGATTAGGCCAAGTATAAAAGACTTATCTCGCTATAGATAAATGCATATTTAAACGGGGTCAGATAATCCTGGAATAGGCATCTAGAGCTGCTAAGGCGAGAGTGCTTAAGAGCTTGCAGCTTACACTCAAATCATGGGGAGATAAAAGAGGAGAATATTTGATCCAGAAAATGTGAAAATCTATTTCGCTTGGTCTCTGAACTATATGATCAAGTCATTAGTAAAGTACAGCTCGCATTAACATATTTTTGTTCTGAATTTCATACAATATTCACAGCTGATTGATATCGATATCGAGCTTCTAATCTCAATCGTTTTGTTCCATTTTTACCATCTTCATAGCACTTTAACTTTAGTCGTAAGTCTCATATCATGTTTAGGTTACTCTTACTTAGATTGCAACAGCTGATCTGCTTAAGACCATTTTTAAAGAGCCTGAACTCGACTTTATCATTTTTTCAAAGTTATAGGCACCTTCGATCGCATAAGGTGATGCATGTTATAAGTTGGCCCTAAGTTTCCATTGAACTTCGCTTAGCCAGACTGGACGGCAACTTCGACATCGACTCTGTTTTATCAGCACCCATAGACGTGAATTTCAAGGAAGGCAAAGCCTCTCCTATATCAGATTCATAATGAGATTGTCGATGAACTAAACTTACGTTGGGCTATTTCAGTTAAATATAAATATAGATTTATATTTATATATTTATCTACTTACATATTTATATATATAATTGTATTCATAGAAAATAGGTCTCGAGACTATCACTAAATCTCGAATAAGCTTATAGTTTTTATAGATCGCAGAAGCACTGATAGTTGAATATTAATATTTATTTATTTATAATATATGTCTTGCTACTTCTCCAAACCTCTCCCTTATTGTTTGCATAGACCATTGGCCGTTCGCTCTGGGCCCACTTATCTTCCAAAGCTGCTCTTCACAATGAGGATGCTGCTCATCTGCTCTTTCGACTTCACAGTCTTTCAAATACGTTGATGTCTGTTCTTCAATCGGACTTACTCAGCACCTCTAGCCGAGGACGACAACTTTCCACAATAAAGATGGTTCCATTTGTCTACAGGTGAAAACACGACTTGTCGTTTACCTTCTTTCATCTGCCTTAGCAGACATACCCCATAATCTGTTGATTTCTGGATCCGTATTTTAAATAGTCTGTTGAGATTTTAGTACTCATGATTTATTACTATGAGACGCATTCACTCTATTTCGTTCAAGGTGATTAAGTACTGGTATTTTAATTTTCCCACAATTATATGAGTAGAGTTGAAGCTTCCATTGAATTTCACATAGCCTTGCTTTCCTAAAAGTTTTTCACGTCCAAGGTGAACTTCAGTTTCGACCTTGATGCTCCTATCAGCACCTCCAGCGGGAGTCGAACCATGGGAGTGCAGCGTGTAATCTTGCCACATTAACCTCAAGACTCGCGATTGGTTGGAGTAAGTAGCGAAGTCGACGATGAAGACTCACTTACAATAGTGCCTCATATGCTTAAGTATCTGTTTAATTATATTTATTTTCTTGTGAGAGGTAGGAGCTATCCATACTAAAGTAATTAAATATTTATTATTGAATATTTTTTTTATTTTCTTGCCTTACCTATTTATTATATTGTAATTTACTACATTTCGTGAAGTTATCACAATTTAAATAATATATAGTTAATGATTATATTCTATCTTTTTTTGCGATTGTTATAAAGC